CAAGAATCTAACCTTGGACCCCCAGCTTGGAGCTGCTAGGGAATTTGGTTTATCTTTCTGTCTAATGGAGTAGGTAAAATGCTAGCTATAAATACTATGATAGGCTACAGAACTACAAATATATGTGTAAAGAATATAGAAATGTAATAAAAGAATATAAAAGAAAAAAAAGGCAAAAAATCAATTTGGCATCAGCAATGGTGAGAGCACATGAGTGAGAGAGTCTTCAATGAAAGGTGAATCACCAGAAAAAGTTACATATGTGGAGCAGTGAAAAGGAAGACTGTGAATTGAATTTCAAGGGGGAAAGTGTTAGAACTGCTTCCTGCAGAGAAATGGCAAACACCTACAAAAACTCAAAGACAAAAAAAAAAACAACATTGCTAGAAAATCCAGAGATAGAGTTTCCTCTGACTACACATAAGGAAGCTTTACTTCCAATTGACTTGCCGCTGTGCTTATCTCTCAGCAGTAAAATGCATTCACCCATCCCAAGCTCTCAAAAAACCCTAGTGCAGTAATAATTACAAAACCACAAGCTTACATCCTCTGAAGGACATTATGCGTATGATGAAAGCTGCAAAGAACCTTTGTCAGGCTGTGCCTAAAGAAAGAAGGGGTGGAAAATGAAGTGCTTACAGACATAAGAGAATAGGAAAAAAAAAGCCAAAAACAAATGCAGGGAAGGACCAAAAAAAGGAAATAAAACAAAACCAGAGAAATCACTGTTCATCTGGGACTTGTTAAATGCTACATGGCAGGCAGGGAATGCTGATAGGTTGCTTCATTGCATTTGGTACCACGCTTTCAATATTCTTCCATACTGATAACATTTCCTTATCTGAAGGAAAAAGCACCTTTAGTGTTGGTGAGGTGGTTGACTCGAACAGCCCTACTGCAGGTGAGAGAGCAGCAGCTGCTGGGCTTGCCTGCCTGCCAGCAGGACATCCTCTGGGCTCCTGGCTTTTTTCTTCCCTCCCTCCCTCCTTCTCCAATCAGACTAAATGAAATGGAGCTATTTGTGGGTTTAGAAGTGGCAACAGTTCAGCCCGCTCCATCCCCAGGTGCCAAAGGGTTGAAACAAGAGAAAACTCTTACAGAACATTTGTGCACTTTCCAACTGCCACACAAGCAGCCAAAGAATCAAGCTATGATTCAACTTCTGAGCAGCCCCAGGAAAAGAGTTAGGAAACTACCCTTACTCTTTTTTTTTTTTTTTTTAGTAAGGGAAGCCGATGTGAAACTTGGCATGGTCTGGATTTAAAAGAAACCCCAAAAGTTGTTGCATTGCAGCCAGGCATTCAAGCCAGCAGAGCAGAGGTTCCCAACGCTGGTATTCTCTCATCCCCTGCCTCCCTCCCCACTCCGGGGCATCAGCAACTGCACCCAGCAAGATCCTCTCCTGAATTCCCTCCCCTCCCATTCAGGATCGAATAACATCCCTGGGGCGATTGCTCACACGGAAAAGCAACATGAGGAAAGTATTTAATGCATGTTTATGTCTTTTAATATAGTGTAGCAGCTGGAATCAAAGGCAAAAACCCTGGGCCTCAGCACATGAGCATCGTGGCTCTCCACAGAGTCCCCTTCTAATCACTGCTGCTCTCTGGACCACAGCTTTAGAAATCAAGCACTAACCCCTATTGCCTAATTAGCAGAGCAGTGTAAAGCTTAGAAACAGGCATATCTTCTTCCTCCCTAAGTGGCCACTGAATAAATGCTATATCCCCAGTTCACAGTCCCTTTTTACATTGCTGGCATTACCAGTCCTTTGTGTACCCACATGCTGTTACTTAAATTGCTTCCATGTTTTCATTACTTGCTCTCTGTGCTGTGTGTATTGAAACTCCTGCAAGAATGCTGAAGTGGTATTTCAAAGCACTGGGGACTGCTGGAGATGTAGCTGGAAATATTATGCAACAAACTAAGGGGATTTTTCAAGTCCTGATAGAGTTTGCACTTCCTCAGGGGAAAAATAAATTTGGGCGCTACTCCATGATGTGCAGGACAACCACTCCCACCCACCAGAGGCACAAGAATGGCACTTGCAGCTCAGTCTGTGTATATTCTCTGCATCCACGAGCAAGGTGGTAAACCCAAATAATGCTCCCATGTGCAAGGGAAAATGTGTACATTGGGCCAAACTCTCCTGGCAAAAATCCATAAAGGGCAGTGGATTGATGCCAGCTGAAGGTCTGTCCCACTCTTTAAATGTGTTGTTCCCTCCTTCTGCTGCCAGGAGCTGCTTTTCTGGAGCTTGTGCTGATTAAAGCAACACGCAATCAAAACAGCCTAACGCTGAAATTTCAAAACCGCCAAAACCATTTAAATGTGACAAATCATTTTTTTTTTATTTTTTTTTCCCCACAACCATTACTGCAGCTCTCAATGGTTCTGCAAGTAAGTGCAGAGGGTTCCTGCATGCTCTGCTCTTCCAGGGAAACACAGAGATAGACCAGAGAGCTATATATCCATGCAAATTTCAACTTGCTGCTTCCTCCTAGTTATCTTCCCCCCCCAAAATTTCCGTACCCACCACAAGACAGATGCTGGCCACAGAAGAAATCATTCTGCCAGCACCAGAACCTTTCTCCCCCTCGCTCCCAGCCTCCCTTTCTGCAGTGCCTTTGATCCCCCCTCGATGCGAGGTGCTCACAGCCTGATCCTGGAACCCCACGAGCCGAGGGGCGGGCGTGTGTGCGATCCCCCTGGCTGCAGGGACTCGGGTTATTCCCCATCCTGGTGATGCAGGCTGCTGGTCTCCAGGCATCAGGCACACCCCTCGAGATCACAGCACTGGGGTCTTCCAGACCCCTGCCGGGGACATCTCTGGCGCAGCTGCGGCTCAGCAGCTGCCGCGCCGCAGCCGTTGGGTGTTATGCTAATGGTGCACCGGGGCAGCAGCCTTCTCCCCATCTGCTCAGAGCACCCACCTGCTGGGTGCTGAGGTTTTTTTGTTTGTTTTAATGGCCAGATTAGACCAGTGTTGACCCAAAGCGCTCCCAGCTTGAGAACAGGGTGTGTGTGAGCACAGCCCCAGCCAGCTCGGACCTCGCAACGCAGGTGCAAGCTGGATGCAGCCGTGTCTGAGCCATGGTCTGTTTCTTTCAAACTCCTTATCCTCCTGCAATAAAGCCATCACCCTGAGCATAACCATGCTACAAGGTGTTTTTTTAAACTATTGTTCCCACTGGCTTTGTTTGGTTTTTGTTTGGGGATTTTCTTGTGCATAACTTCCTTATGCTTAGCTTTATTTATTCAACCTTTTGGATGACCACACAGAAAAGAACACACCTTCCATGCCCATCAGGCTGGGTGATACATAGAAATGAGGGCTCTGATTCTGTGCAGTCATATTCTCCACGGCCCATGCAGGGTAAGTAGGGGTTTGCAGTTCTTTTTTTTTTCCCCTCCACATTGCTATGGAAGGATTGCTTGTGACATCTTTGCTGTCACTGAGCATAGTCTCATAAAACTGCTGCTTCCCCTGAGACCTCTGCAAACATTCAGGGAGGACAGGAAAGTGGAAATTAGACATTGCTTGGTGCTAAGAAGGCAGCTCATCCTTTCAATAGATGGGAAATTCTCTTCTCAAAGCGTTATAGGGCCAAACCTCTACTGTGTTTAAAAGAGCTAGCTCTTTCATGCCCATTGACTATATCACTTAAAAGATTAAGAGAAAAAAAATCCCCTTGAATTGTTTTTTTTTTTAGTTTGTTTTCAAGTTCTGCTTGTAAGAAAAGTGAATGTGAGTGATGTTAGACTCCAAATGTGAGTGATGTTAGTCTCCCTGGGCTCTGCCTTGAGTCAATGGGAAATATCAATGCTTAAAAAAGTGATTTTGAGTCATGATAATTTTGGTCTATGTCAGTCTGCCAAGGAGGATTTTTCTAGGAAGGGGTGGAGGAGAATTTCTCCAGGCAATTAGTCTCCTCAAGGCTTCACATTGCCCTTTGAGCACCCATCACATGTGTAAGGTGTGGGAGAAGAAGGATCAAAGTTGCATGAGCAGGAAAACCGAGCTATGACCCAAGCCCTAATCTGAGGGTGCCTAAATCCCAGATCAATTTCTCCAGGTTTTGGAGACACTTGTGCATCTTTTATCAAATCTATGTCCTGTCTGAACTCATCATGAAACCTATGGGTTACTAAGCAGGCAGAGGTGAAGTATTTTTACTATGACCTGACCAAACACACTTGGCTAATGTTTAGGATAGAAAATACCACTTATCCAAAAATTTGTGTCCCCAGCAGTGCTGCTTAATACACTCAAACTAAATTTGGTCTATGTACTAAGTGTAGGCGACACTACAGAAAAATCAAGCCAACATCAAATCAAAAGGGTGCTCCTGAAAACAGCTCATATGAAGAAAGGATTTTCTTTCTTTTCTCATCCTTGAATGAGTGAAAAAATTAAAAAAACTTCAATTTTTACCCAGACTTAAAGTACCAAAAATTTCTCTGCGGAAGGATATTTCAAGAAAATTATATGCATCTGGAAGAAAATGAGACTTATAATGGAAGTATTTTCTGTAGCATAACTATAGTGCTACTCACACAATGCTGTAATCAAGAATAATGGAGCCCATCACCCAGAATACAGGAATGAATTCAATTGTTCATCATGCACATACCTCTATTTTAAAAATGCAGTTGAATGCCTTAACTGCCAAAAGGCTTGAGCATTAGTGCTCAGGCACAAAGCAGTTTAGAAGTGGGCTCCTTCATTTCTCACTCATGTAATCATTAATCTCAAAACTCAATTACATACAAAAATAGAAGAAGCCTGGTTGAACTTTTGATCTCTTCTGAATTGGTTCATCTGAAGGATAGTTCAAGATCATTCCCCATGCATACGTGGCAGTGCAGGATGATACTTGCCCTGTGCTGCTCCAAGGCCAAATCTTGCAAAGACTGTGCCTTGGACACAAATTGTTTGAGAAGATCAATTCCTTCCCTCTCCCTCTTCTTCTGGAACTATGTAAAAGAATGGCACCTACCTTCTTTTTGGAGTGTGATCTGTCCTCCTCTTTAGTTGTTTTGCTATTTTTCCCAGTTCTGGAAAGTTTCTGCTCCCCAGACTGCTTGATGGTGATTTTGATCTCGGGAGGGCAAATGTAGTTCTCCAAGTTCTTTGGGGGCTTCTTCGCTCTCTTGGTGGTCTGGATCTTTAGTTTTAAACTCCCCTCCGTGAAGTTAGCCTCCTTGATGGAAAACTCCTGCTCCTCCAGGCCATCTCCCGCCACCCATTTCTCGCTGTCCGCATTGGAAGTGGAATCCACGTCTCTTCCAGAGCCCAGCTCATCCTCTTCCTCAGGCTCCAGCCTCTCGCTGCTCACCGGGATCCCTTTCCCCGCGCCCGACGAAGACAGCATCGTCTCCCCTGCACAGCCCGAGACTGGCGAAGCCTTCGTGGAGGTGACGGCAGCTGGCAGAAAGTCTGCCTCGCCTCCCCTTTGCCGGGAGCTGCTCAAAGTCTCTCTGGGCTCCATGGCAATATCACAACGCCCTGGAGTTTGGTTGGAGGGAAGGGGAGTACAGAAGGGGATGAGGGAAGCAAGGGCGGATACGATCCCAGGGAGCGAATGGCAACTGTCCACCAAATTCAATGTCCCGGTCACCCAGAGGCTGCAAGATGCTCAGAAGAGACCAAATGTGCCACTGTGAAAAGAAAGGAAAAAAAAATAAAGAGGAAGTTAGCACATGCACACATATGTCAAGTCAAAGTGTGGAGATGTTTGAAACAGGGCACAGGGCACACTCAGGCTTCCCCTGCAGCATCTCAAGGGCTTTCCTTGGAGAAAGTGGGAACCAAGGCTCACCAGCATTTCTGAGGGCTGGATCTGACATCACAAAGCAATGAACAATTGCCATATCTGTTGTTAAATTGATGACAATGGATATCTATTTAAAAAAAAAACAAAACAAAATAAAACAAAAAACAAACCAAACACCCAAAGTGTTGTCTCAATGCAAACATCTTCAGCTCGACTTATGCAATAAATGAGGGGACAGCCAGCTCTCCACACCCATGAACCTCCTCATTACCTCAACCTGCTCACTGTCACAGGGTTTCCAGCAGGCGAAAAAAGTAAACTCAGATACTTGCCTTGGGTTAAACAATAACCCAGTGATCAGAGCACAGAAAACATGGTGCTGCCCTCTGAATCAGCAGCAGAGTTTCAAACTCTCTGTTTCCTCACTTGCCAGGTGAGAGAGTGACAGCTATAGCTTGGCTGCCAACTGTTCTGAGGGTAATCCTGCTTTGGATGAACAATTCATTAGAGACCAACTGCAGCCCAGGATGCTCTATGGGATACTGGAACTGCAAGAGGATCCACCTGGGCTTCTTTCAGTGCATGTCAGTGTCCCAAGCACTGAGGTGCATGGAGAAAAGCTAAACTCAAGGTTTTCCAGAGTTTTTCATGCCCTCATTCCACTGTCCTGCGGAAAAGCCTAGGGCTGGATGATGCACAGACTGCGCTCTCGACCTTGCAAATTTTATTTTTCTTTAGAACATCAGAGATGGAACCCTTTGAGATGGAAACGCTCCTGCTTGGTACCTTACAAAGCCTCAGTTAAAGGAAGAAGCTGTGGACATTCAGTTGAGGCAAAAATTGTATCACCCAAGGAATTCTTGTTATAAGTAATACTTACGGGGTGTTTTAAAAGGCATTGAGGTGCTTTCATGCACCCTCCCTAAAACTCCCCTATTGCCACCCCACACACACCCCCTCATGGCAAGCCAATTTCAGCCACAAAATTAGCAAAAGAATCCACAAAAAAGTGTATATCTACACAATTAATGGAGGGAAATAAATGTATTTTCTGTTACTTTAAGATAAACAACAAGTAACACTTCTGGCAAATGGAGAAGGAAACAGGAAGGCAGTGCCAGGAGTAGTTGCTGGGAGCTCAGACTGGCTCTTTCAGGAGTAGCTCCCTGCTAGATTAGCTCAGCTACACTTGACCAACTTCCATCAAGATCTGAGCACAGCCAGGGATTTCCCAGGTCATTCTTGGCAGCAATATACCACAGAGAAAAAAAAATTATCTTGCTACCTATCACCAAATCAGAACAAGAGTGCCAGTGTACACTGCTGTAAAGCACAGCTCACCTAGAAGAAACACATGTCCTTGCACCACTGGCTTCTTTTTGCTTTCTAAAGGTACCTTGCAGGGGCCTGAAATTCACCAAGAAGTAATAACAAGTGCCTTTTATTAGTTATAGATACACATTTTCATTGGAGTGTGGCTGTGTGTCACTTTTCTCACCTGGACGTGTATGGCTACTAGTGGAAAGATTAAGTGTACTATAGCTCCATGAAATCACTTGGAGACCAGGTCCCAGCAGACACAAATTCAAATAAAATTCCCATAAATAGCACAAGCTGACAACCCAAGCAGAATGAAATAAAGAAGGAAAAAAAACCCCCAAACTTGGACTTGCCATCTGGCCTTAGGGATAGTTTCCACAGCTCATAGGAGATAGAAATGCACCACAAAAACACTTATACTTGAGTTGCACATCTCTTGGCAATAGTGGAGGGACTCATTTCCCAGAGCTGATCCTCCTGTGAGATGATCTTGAGGAACTAACAGACCCGAGGTCTCATGCATGCCTGCCCTGACTCACCCTGTGGTCAGCCAGTCTCCCCAGTTCACCTCTGGGAAACAAGGATCACACTTACATCCTTCAAACCCATTGCAGAGTGGGTTAGTTAATGCCCTTACAAAATGCCATACATTTTGAACCCAAACCATGTGGTAGTTGCTAATTACTAACACAATTAGTACATGAAAGCCACCCTGGTTGCAAAGAGCTGCTCCACCTAATTGTCTGACTTTGCACTTTGCCTCTCCCTGTGCTTGTGGAGGTGATGGGAGTCAGAGACACCTTCCCCTTCCAACCGGCCCAATCAAGAAAAAGAAAAAAAAAAAAAGTCTTATTTATCTGCCGTTTTACATTGTTAATCTACGCGTAGAGGGACACAATGTACACACTCTCCTGGGCTGCAACACAAACACAAGGTGGTAAAAGCTCGGCGGTGCAGCATTCCAGGGAGTTACCGCTCTGGTATGCACGCATGTACAATGGGCACTGTGTGCCGGCCTCCGCCCAAAGGCTTTTAACCTCTCTCGCTGCTGGCTGCAGAGAGCAGGCTCTGGAGCAGCTCAGCAGGATGAGCCCGCAGCCGCCAAGGGTGCAGGGAAGGGACAGCTGGAATTGCCTTTATGAGCCAGCCCTCCCGGGACCCTCACCTGCGCGGGAGCTGAAATGCAGCTCATGGCTCCGGGACAGGAAGAGTCATTCATGTTTTGAGCCATTGGGTAATGTTTTATGGAGGGTGAATAAAAGGCCAGATTTCTGCTCCAAAGTCTGACTGTGGGACCCAAACGCTGGGTCATAATGTCCAAGTACTCATCCCCGCTTGGCTGTGTGCCTCCAGCTCAGCATAAACAAGCAACAGATAAATAAAGTCATAGCATTGCACCCGTGTCAGATGAATTCATGCCAAATCCACCTTAAAACCCAACTTAAAAATATTGGCCTCCTGTTCTGCCAAGAGTCTGCAGATGATATCACCAGACCCACAGGTAGCAACAAATAACTCTGCACTCAAGTGCTGCACCCAGAATTAACTGGGTCATTGTTCTAGATATCTCCTTACTCTCCTTCAGGGTTAATAGTTAAATGACTTGGGTGCAGGGACATCATACTCGTCTTTCTAGTTTGGGCAGGCTACCTGTGCTTTGACTAATTAGAAACCTCACTTCAGGCCTCTGAATGTGTAACCTCTCCTGGAAACCTCCCCTCTCCAGAGTGCCTGTGAGCAGAATCACAGAATGGTTTGTGTTGGAAGGGACTCTAAAGCTCATCCACCCCCCCTGCCATGGGCAGGCACCTTCCACTATCCCAGGTTGCTCCAAGCCCCATCCAACCTGACCTTGAACACTTCCAGGGATGGGGCAGCCACCTGCCAGGGCTTCACTACCCTCACAGGGAAGAATTTCTTCCCAACATCCAATTTGAACCAGCTCTCTGTTGGTTTAAAGCCATTCTTCCTTGTCCTGTTGCTGGAAGAGCTCTGTTTCTGGTTTTAATACCCAGGACATGAGGTGTGTCTGAACATCTAAATGCTGACCCAGGCTGTCATTCCAGGCCTCCAGTGCTCACCAGCATCAAGTCCTGTTCAATAAGCAGCTACAGAGGCATTTTACCATCCAAATTAGGCTCACTGAGGAAAGTGTTACTGCTAGCAGGCTTCCTGCAGTCAAGTTAAATTTGAGGAGGATAATTCACAGGTGAATGACAATAAATTTCACAGAAGTTGGCATTAGCTCTTAATTAGGGAGAGATTCACACTTCCTCTGATAAGTACTGAGAAATAATCAAACGCCTGCTTGCTCAGCCTTGTTACCAATGCTCAAGTTTCTTATCAGCTCCTCTGGGCACCTCAAACACTCTTATGGAGGCAAAGACCTTCAAGTACAAAACCCCCATTTGGGTCATACTGGATGTCTCCTATCTGGGGTTCTGAATATGCTCCCTTCTTCTGCCTCAGGCAACCTGGTGCTTGTGAGTATTCAGATGCCCCAGCTATAAAGTGATTAAAGTGAAAATTTGCAGAGGACAAACACAGAGGTGAGAGCCAATAGGAGGGAGGGGAGATCCACCTGCTTGGGGTTTTCTGTGAAATGAAAGTGGACATAATACTTGGCACAGCTTTTGCCTTAAACTTGGACTCAATGATCTTGGTTCTATGATTCTGTGATTCTAAGAGTGACAGCAACCACATTAGGAGCAAGCAAACACTGTTAACACTGTTTTGACACATGCAAGCAGGGCAGGCTCAGCTGCCCAGTGTTTCTGCAGTTCCTCTGAACTGCTCAAGCACTAGGAACACCAGCAGGGAGGTGGGAGCAATACTAAGAGGTGCTGTCCAAATTCCTTCTACACTAATACCGCTGTAACTACTGAGACTGCTTTAAGTTCATTCATAAAATCCAAAATGAATGGGTGTAAAAGAAAAAAAGTCTGTTAACAGGTTCAAATCAGTGGAAACTAAAGCACAAGTCTGAGGCTTATGGGGGATGCAAACGGGAGGTCACAACTTTTCAAACTCTGTGCCTATCAGGTTGCCTTTGAATCTTCCATTCTTCCATGGGACATTGCATTAAATCCCTAATCTCTGCAAAATATTAGGAATCCTGGAACCTTCTTTACACTCCATCCTTCTAAAACCATTCAGCACAAAGCAGTGGAGACTATGCAGCAGTGTTTAATGATGAGATTTCACCTTTCACTCCAAAGACTCCCAGGTTACTTCCATGGTCATGTATGACACTGTGGAAATGCAGCTGCCTCTGGGCCAGAAGCCAGTGGACAACTCATGTTACAGCCAAGGGCAAGTTTTGGTCAGAAACCTGCTTTTATGAGCAGTGTCTGTAAAACTTCAGATTTTGTCATGGGTCTTAAAAACCCAACATC